TTGGAATAGCCTGTATAAGGGAGCTAGCTGATGACTGTAGACTTGTTAGATTGACAATTCACTGCACATCTGTGTCTGCCAATATAGAATTTACTCCAAGTTGCCTCTCCAGACAGTTCTTTACATAATACATATTTAAGTTATTAGTGTTGTCATTTGGGAGCATGGTCAGCTTTTGAAGAAACTTCCAGGGTGTCCGTTAGCACGGAACACATCACAGCTGCCATTTTAGAGTCATGATGATTACATCTGAAGTTCAAACGATTTGATTTCATTTTAGAGTTTCAGAAGCAGTCTGTAGGGCAGACTTACACAATTAATTTTTACTGAGGTCTGCTGGGTAACTTTATTGAAGTCTGAGAACTTCTACTGAGGTAAGGTAGTTACCACTGGCTAACTTTACAGCGCTCTTGTTCAGTAGGAAGCAGCATGGTGGTTCCCACTCAGATGAAACCTGCAGGAAAGTGAAGAAACTGCTTCCAAGACACACACTGCCTATCTGGGACATCGAGGAGGAATAAGCGGAACTCAGTCACTGCTCAGATCTGGACCAGAAGTTGTACGGGCCCTCAAATGTCTCTTCGGGAGAGTACGTGGGGATTTACAGTACACAGTCCCCCAAATATTTTACTGAGAGGCTTTCAAAATTGAACTTCTGCACCTGTGATTCTTTAATATGAGAATTCAAAAAAATGCACCCTTATTTTAGTTTGAACACAGAAGTTAACAGTGAAACCTTTGAGATTTATATTTATCACTTACAAGAAGCACTTCCTAATAATCAGTGGCAGCTAGGCTGACAAGCAAACTTCAGAGCAAAGCCATGGGGGATATGAGTCTATTTTAGGTTTACTGTTGGCAGTAAGGGTCAGTGGAAAAATAAACTCAGCAAGCAGTGTCATGCCACTACAAACCTCTGCTGGCCAAGCATAAGCTAAAGTATGGCCAAACCTTTCAGCACAACACAAACAATTGGGCAACTGAGCTGCCCTGCAGCACACAGACCATGACATATAGATGAATAGGATTAAGCACGAGTGAGACATAACATAAATTAGTAATAAATAAAGCTCAAAAGATTGGAGGAGTTAATTATCCCACAGCCTAGAGTAGAGTAACATGCTCACCCACAATAGCATCTATATTATTTTAACAACTTAAGTCTGCAAAACTAATCAGGGAAGCCCTGTGATAACTGGCACGCTTTCTCAATATTTCAAGAACTGATCATGGTCTCCTTCAAGATATCCTTCTTTTAGTCAAACTTTAAATAATATAGGCAATCTCCAGTTCTGGAACCAATCATTCGAGAAAAAAGAAAAGAACAGCAGAAGGGCTCAAAAGTTATTTTTATTATACACACACACACACACACACACACACACACACATACATACATATATATATAAATATATATATATATAAAGAAAACTATAAACTTTTTTGTCCTGAAGGTTTAGTTCTCAGCTTCATGTCATATACTGTAATACTGCTGGTGAAAGCTGATTTGATTGCTCTGTCACACTAATAAAATGTAAGATTTGTGATACTGATATCACTGTTAATGGTAATATTGGTTTGAGTTTTCTTAAGTTTACTTTCTGTTGAAGCCAATGATAAAATCAGCTGTGTGGAATTACAGGCATCTCTACATCTCTCTGTGGACTCATTAGAAATATCCATTTTATATAGTCCCATCAGCTAGGACAGATTTAATTTTATTCTATCAGTCACTAGACAGAAGTAAAATCCTCTCATTCCAGCCATTCTACTGCTTCCCTTTTTCTTTACCTATCGTCCACTGGATACAGATACAATCCTGTAATTCCCACTGTCCTACTGGCTTCCTCTTTCTTTGCTTTTTTGTTTTGATGAAGCCACATCTGTTTTGTCTACTGTCAGTAGGGCTAATGCTAGAAAACAAATCAGATTTTTCACTTTCAAGCCTAACTGTGGAGTGAAACCATACAGGACAGTAAGGGCTAGATGATTTATTATTGTCCTTTATTTCTAAAAGAGGCTAGATATATTTCTAACAGGGGCTAGATATATGCACTGGTTGATGCACTGGTAATTCATAAGGACTATCCATGCATCAAAGATAAGAGTCTTCAAATTTTAAGAGAGTGTTTAAAATCAAAGCGCACTTCTTGTGGGCGATGCCAAATCCAATGCATTTCTTCCCTGTCAAGCTGAAGTCCATCTGTACGGTTCTGTTTCACTAATTTAAGGTACTTTTTTATTGTTCTATTCACAGAGCTCTCTGCACACTTGAAATACCCCTGGGACAATACCACACTGCTTGGCTGTGATTTCTGCAGGGATGCCTTTCAGAACCTACAGAGCATGAAACTAACAAATTCTCATGACCTCTCTCATGGTGTCCCATAATTCATCTGTGTTTTGTCAGTACCATTTTTGAACTGAGGATATATTAGGTCAGCCCATGTTGGGTCCTGTGAGTATGATTCTCATTAATACAAACAGGGTGTCTCTCATATCTTTGAAGATGTACGGGTTGATGGATAATAGTGAGCAGCTTCCAGTAACTGCAGCAGTACCAGCTACTGTGGGGAGTAGTACCAGGAGGCAGAGCAGGAGAATGAAATCAAGGAACCCAGTTCCGGTGCTATGCCCTCCATTCACTCTTTGGGATTGTTCCAGTAAATCACACTTCTGCTCTCTTTTCTTCTATGCTCTCTGCTGAACCATGTCTTTAGACCCCTGAATCTTTCTTTTTCTGTAATTTTGTTTAGAAACTTAGCCAGCATAAGGCAGTTGAGTGGGTTGACCATGGAGTTCCAGGTGGTACGGAAAAGCACAATAATACCCCTGTTCTTAGTCTCCTTGTCATCACTAATAAAATATTGTTTTCTCCAAAATTTTAAATGGCATTCCCATTCTCTCTTGTAAACCTGTGCTTATCTTGGCACATTTCTCACTTATCCCTGTATAATGACTCCGTACGCCTGGAGATTCAATTCGTGGAAAATTAGTGAGGCAGGCAGCAAGGATAGTCAACTCACTTGCACGTTGTGGCTTTTGGTAAGTTGGCAGTCTGAGGGGACAGCAATATGAAGTACATTAATAATTGTAAATGCTCTGTGTAGGCTGTCTTTATTAGAGAACTACAGTGAATTCACAGAAGAAATAGAAAGGTCTTATTCAAAAATAAAGCAACAGGCAAAGAGAAAGATACATTCTGCTGCTATTCAGCAAGGTAATGTCTTGCTATCTAAGGTACAAAAGGGAAGGAAACTATGAATATTGAAGAAGCTTCATATATGGGAAGCCATAGAAAGGTTTCTTTGCTTTATGATAATCATACAAATCAGAGCCCTGCCTTCACCTTGAATCACTTTGCATAGCAGCCACTGTGACTCAGTTTAAACTTTCTACAGCTCTCCTGTGTCTGCATCTATTGATCCATTCAATTTGGTTTATTTCCTTTAGCACCAACCCCTTGAGCAGGGCACGGGAGGAATAGCAAGCGATTTGGAAATGACGGCATGGGCCAGCTCAGTAGCTGATCGTTGTGGCATTTGAGAATTCAAGGAAATAAAACTACTAAAGATTCATATCTCTAGTACAGATGCCATTTGAACATTTTCGGGGAGGCAGGTGTTTACTAGCTAAGTTGGTGGAGAAAGCCTTTGCTCTCACTCAGTAAAATGTAAGGTAGAATATATCTGAAAAGTTATTTTCAGTATACGTTACTTACAGATAGCAATCCATATCCTTCTCATTTTCAGACTTTTGCAGATGACATTTTCAGCAACACCTGTCTGCTTCTATGTATGCAGTGCTTTTGTCACCACTGCATTTTACACATGCTACAAGTCTTAGCTGCCTAAAGAAATGACCCCTGTTTAGAAGCAAGTTATATGTGCCAGCAATCCTTGACATGGCATCCTGGGAACCAGCTGTAGCTACTGGAAGCTTGTCTGCTTTATGGACCCTGCTTCAATGCAGTAATAGCATCACTTGCAAAAATAATAGGTTCAGAGAAACAGATCTATGAAAGGTCTTTTTCCTTCACTTGTTCCGATGATATTTTGCAGATGCCTGTTTTCTCCAGCTAGCAATCAAGTACAGGTGTTCTGCAGAAGTCCAAATAAACATGCAGTGAAGAAAGGTGGTTATAATGCAAGTGAATGCAAAAAAGGCATCTGATGTTGAAAAGGTGTTCTCCTGGGTGCCTCAGAGTTTATAAGTGAATAAGTGACTCAAAGGACAGCCTGACTTTGGTGTAGGACACACAGATACATAGGCAGGCTTATTCAACTGTGAAACAGCATACTGTATAATGCAGTAATTAGAGAACTAACAGAAATTGAATACTTAGGAATATTGGTATAAAACACTACATGAACAAACTCATTGTGGACTGATTTTACTTCTTGCTATTTTGTAAGAATTCTGGAAACCTCAAGTTCAAAAAAATTCTATTTGAAAAAGTCAGTCAACGTAAGAGACAGAAAACAACTGCAGTTTATCCAGAGTAATATCCTGTAAACAAGTCCTAAAAATAAATTCTGAAAGCCTTTTTCTCCTAGACTTCTGTTTTTAACAGCATTACACAGAGTTTCATCAGCACGATAAAAAGTTAGTAAGGCAGTCTGCTCCAAACTTTGCTTCTTCATAACCTTGTTCTACGTTTCTGGGACAGTTTCAACAAAATTGTGAACTACTATGACCTTGATGTTAAAGACCTCTTTGAGATTGTTACAATAATGAACAACAAACAAATGCATTTCCTATCATTTCTCAAAGCTAACCAGGAACTCAGTCCATTAGTCTTTTCACTAGTAAAGATCTCATTAACTTTTTTAGAGCTACTCCTGTAAAAAAAATGCAAAGTCAGGTTAAAAGGAGGAGGTTACCTATATTCACTGTACCAGGAGTTTTTATTTCTTCCTAAGAATTTTCCCACAATAGCGTTTTTCTCAGGGGCAAAACAAAACTATAAAAACCCAGCATATATAACATGTATTACTTACAGTGTATTTCTAGAACCTGCATTGCTATCTGAGGTGTAGAGTTTAGGGACTCATGGTCTACTCTGCAACTTACAACTGCACCATCATCATTGCGATCTGCTAGGAAATCCAGCGTGCTGCTGACTGTGAATGTTTTACGATTTGCATCTTCTTCTTTTAAATATTTAACATCTGAAAGAAAAATAAACAAAGATTTTTTTCTCCAATATTTTAGGAAATATAATCCAACATTAGAGAGCTACATTATCCACCAAACTTGTTTGAATAAAACTCTTTCATCTCTACATTGATCTCTTTAAAACAAAAGTTATTATACTACAGTTATCCCACAATTTGCTCCTGTTGTCAGAGCAGGAGATATATACAGAAAAAGAAAATTTCAAAATTGGCTAATTAATACTGCACTCAGAGGGAAATTCCTTTCATCATTCTCTCTCATATGCTTAGGTTACAGTTGGACATAAACTTTCTCTGCATTTCATTAGAAACACATGGTCTGCTCCCACCTTCACTCCCCTTAAATATTCAGTGTCACTAAATCTTAAATTTTCTAAGTCCGTGTTTATAATCTTTATAGTAAGGCAATACGTTAACATCACTGAAGCCAGGTGAACTGAAGCTGCATGTAGTTATATCAGCTCTGTGCTCATTTTATTGATTGCTTATTCTTGTTATTTGGCTAGAATTACGTTAACTTGTGAACAAAAATAATCTAAAGTATGGATATCAATGGTGACAAACAATTGCAAATAGTCATCATGGCATTGTAGTTAATATAATCCACAGACAAGTCCCAATCACACTGGACATAAAATTATTCAAAAGACATCATTCAAAAGACATGCTTTATATTACGCTAAACTGGCCTACTGTTTTTGTGTAGATCCAGGTAAAAATCTTTTTTTCAGGTTTTATCCCAGATGCTATGGTGCTGGGTGCCCACAGGTTCAGAGACTATATGCTCAAGAAGTACTCAACTCTGCTCAAGGTTAAGGTTCAAATTCAGAAAGTGTCATTGTAGGGCACACAAGTTAGGTCAGAACTGAACATTTATTTTAACATGTTACTACATATTAAATCTAGATCTATTTACTCATAGTTTAGAATTGTTTTGTCCCAACTACTTGTATTAGTCATTGATTTTTATTTATTTCAGTAAAAGAGTAGGCTGGATATATTGATTTCTTACAATGATGGCTTTAAAAGATTTATATATAAATACATAAACAAGTATATTAAATCCCACTGAGACTGCATGTTCTAGGTGTCCTAAAAAAAGGAAAAGAAAATGTGAGAGATTTCAGTTTTACAAATTAAACTAAATCCCATTAGAAGGGGTAATCTAAATAAAATTTCCATGAAATAACAATTTTAGAAAGCAAACCTTAAATGGCTTAAGCTACTTCCTTTTAGATTAAAAGTATCTCTGAAATCAGAAAGATGGTCTTTTTCATTGTCTCCAGATAGATGAAGAAGTCGCTTAGTTATACAGCTTCAATTTTTTCCCTAAGAAATAATTATTTCCTGAACGCAATCATTTTTCGGCCTGTTGGTTGCTAAGCTTTAAGCAGATTTCAATTTCTGCCAAGATGACTATTAAGATTTAAAGATCAAAAGGTGAGAGAAATATTGATCAGGATCAAAGCAAAGTTGTTATAATCAAAGAGCAAACATCTTTGCTAATATTCAAAGCAAATACAGGAGATTTTTTTCCAAAAGTTAAGGTCTCAACTTTAATAATAAGCACCTATATAGACAGCCTTTCATTCATAAGTAAGCACCCACTCCACAGCTTACTAACTTCAAGTGGAGGACAGCCAGCTCCTGAATATATCAATAGCTTTAATCTCAGTGGCAGTTAATCCTCTGGAAAAGCAAAAATAATTATTTAATTTCCTAAATAGATATTTAGAAGCTTTCCTCTAGACATCTGTTTTTTGGAAGAGCTAACCCCTTTATTACCTCTGTAAAAAACATGGTGATATTATTCTGTAAGCTCTCAACATTCTCGTGAACAGAAATATTTAGGTTGTCCTCTTTAACAGCTGTATTTTCTTGGACATCTCTTCATAGCAAAATGAAGGTGTGATTGTAATACATGCTAACGTAATGCAAGTCCACCTGCACCTAAGTAGCAGTTAAGATGAGGCAGTGTGCATATTACCATACGCTAGCATTCAGAAAGTCCACCCAGGTTTTTTAAAGAATTTGTAAACATGTCTACTTTAGGCCAGGTTTTTTTATTTTCATTTTCTTATTACTCCTCTCTCTCTTAAATAATTACCCCTGAAAAAAAAAGAAAGAAAGGAAAAGATCCATTACAGAGGAATTTTCTCTGGAACTCACTGCAATCAAACAAGTGCAGGATTGACTAGATAGAAAGGAGCTTTACAGTAAAGAGCAGGGGTCCTGAGGACAAGGTTGAACATAAGTCAATAATGTGTCCTTACACAGTTGAAAGCTAAAAAATGACTGCCTTGCATTAATAACAGCACAGCCAGCAAGGCAAGGCAAGGCATTATTCTCCTCTACTCAGTACTCGTGTGGCTGCACCTAGAGCGTACCATGCCCAATTTGGGGCTCCCCAGTACCACCAGGACGGTCAGTGGCTGGAGCACACAACGTACAAGGAAAGCCTAAGACAGTTGGGCTTGTTCAGCATGAGGAAGAGAAGACTAGAAAGAGATCAAATTACTGTCTGCAAGTGCATGGTTATAGAGAAGAAAAAGCCGGACTCTTCTCAGAGGTATACAGCAGAAGGTGAGAGGCAACAGGCACAAGCTACACCAAGGCAAACTCTGATTATGCCTAATGAGATACCTACACATAATGAAAATTATTCACAAAAAGGGCTTTCAAATATTGAAACACATCACCCCAAGAGATTGTGAAATCTCTACTCTTGGAGGTTTTTCAGAACTGAACTGGACAAGGCCTTTAGCAACCTGATCTAACCTTTGAACAGAGGTTGGACCAGATGATCTCTATGGTCCTCTTCCAACTTATTCTACTCCATGATTCTGTCAGACAGATGTAGATACAAATATTTCTAAACTGATATTAGTTTAAGTTAGTTAAGATTAGAAAAATAAAAGAAATGAAACACGTATCATTTGTTTTTCATTGTGAACTACTCATAAGAGTGCATAACTGTAAATAGTGTCAATGCATAACATCTATATAGAAATATTCATCTTCTGAAAAGACACTTTTCCTGCTTTTACTAGGCAAACATGATTTTTGATTACTTTAAAAATCAAGTTCTGCCACGAAATGACCTGCTCTCTAAAATGTTTTAACTCTCCTTTTAGGGGTTTATCAAAACAAAAAGTTCAATGCCTCTCTGGATGCTTGGCATACACTTAAAATGCATAAACTCACTTAAAAAGTCTCAATCTGTTATTACAAAATCAACTGATATTATCTTATTTCTGAGACTTTTTACTAGAGAGAAAAAAAGCAAGTCCATTTTAAAATGTTCCTGATACCTAAATGAAAAGGTTTTACATAATATTATTGAAGAAACATGTAACAAATTTTACGGCAAAACCAGTATATAACTTTTTAATACAAAAATTATGTATTTAACTATTGCCATATTTGTAGTTTTCATAATCTCCTTTTAGAAATGTCACCAAATTGGAGCAGGTAGGAAAAAGAAATGACTGGAATGCTCAAGTACATATAGCTGTTAATTTGGTGCCTATATAACAAACATGGTGCCTTTTACTAGAGTAAAAGGTATAGTATTCAGTATTTCACATTTGCATTCTTTTACTACTAACCTTTACTCTGTCAAATAGTATTCTTTTACCAGATAAGGATTATTTTTTGACTAACAGCAATGGGGCAACAATTTTAGAATGGCTTTTTTCCCCTTTGGTGCAACTCTGAACTCAATGCATCATTTATATTCTTTTGCGCCGTGTATAATATACTGTAACTCAATTGGATTTACTGGTGCTAGACAGACAAAATCCTAACCTTTAATGTCAGCTGCATTAGCATATAATTTCATATCTATTTTCTCAGATTTATCATTTCACCTTTTCCAGTGCACAAGCTAATGTAACTTCTGCTGATGCCACTGCAAACTGGTTAGATTATTTTATTTCTAACCTTTGTGAAAATGGCAATGTGCTCTTCAGAAGACCTAGAAAACTTAACTGAAATGAATGTGTTTAGTGCTTTCCTCTCATTTCTATTTTACCCTTTCACTGTTCTTGTTGACACATCTTTTTTGTCTCCCTCCCCCTCTTTCTTTTAAATCATCTCTTTAGGAAATGTTGAGAACAGCATGTTAGTTAAAGAACCAAAACACCAAACTGCCTGCTTGGCTTCAATTACATGTCAGCTGAAAGAAAAGGCAAAGTTATTACACCAGCCTGTAAGATACAATCTTTAAAAATATATCTTTTGAGATGTGTTCCTCGTTGCTATGCATGCTACATCAGTGGTTCTCTTAAAATATTAATGCTACTTACAGTTATTTTCAATCTTTACATTTCTTTAACATAGTCATCCTGTCATCTCTTCTGTGTGACAGGATCTCTGGAATGCTGTGTCATATGTGTTAGCTGTGCTGTTCGATTCTTCGTTTTAATTATGTTTGACAAGGTGCTACTTTTCCTTCAGCGATTTCCTCAGATTTCCCAATGGCTGGAAAGAACGGGTCTCTGCTTCCCTGTTTCCTATCCTTGTTACAAAAGTTTAAACACATTTCAAATGATTTGAGCCTCAAACTCCTGCCTGTCTTCAGTAACGCTGTTCTGAATTAAGAGACAAAGCTGATGAAAAGGTTTTTTTTAAATAGCTACCTAGAAAAGTTAGATTTCCAATAATGTACTGATCTAGTCTTATAGCAGAATGGATAGAGGTGACATGAATAAATACCAATACCTTACCCATTTTATTTATATATGCTATAATGGGCACCTCAGTTGGCTGTAATAAAACTAAGCCTTCTCTTATAGGAAGCTCTCCCTCATTCATTGACCAAAAAGGATTTTCAACTATTCTAAGCCTTATGTGGACTAGAAAAGTAAGTTTTAAATCCAGAACACACACAACGAAAGAGAAGACAGAAAAGAAATATCAAGCTTTTATATGCAATTCTTGCCTAATTCGCCGCATCCTCAAAGCAGAGTCCTTGCTTTCAGCTTTGTTTTTAGTCACTGAATGACTTTTTCAGTTACAACAGCCTCTGTGCAACTCCCCCTGGTTCCTGAGAAGTCCTTCTCACCCCCTCTGAAGCCCGTCTTCTCCTTGCTCCACTCCTTGCTCCACATGGATACTCCTTGCTCTCAGTATCCGTGCCTTAGTTGCAGGCTCCTTATTCCCTGCTGAGACTCCCTCAGTTGCTACAACCTGATTCTTCCTCACCTGAGCAGGCTCAGTAGCTCCCCTAAGAGAAGTGCACACTCCCGTGTCTTCCAGACATTTCTGCTTCACCCAGTTACTTTACTGAGAGAAGCATTAACATTAAACATTAATTGACCAAATTAATTGCATACGTCATATTGCATGGGCAAAAAGAAATGAAAAGGTAAAATATCTTGGGTGAGTTGTATGACTGTGACAATAACAATTCCATAAAATGTTTCTCTATGAAGCGTCACAATTGAGTTGAATATGCTGAATAGAGTTCAGAGCAATTCAAAATATCTGTTTTTACAGTTTGAAGAAAAAAAAAAAAAGATGGCTATATGGCCACTACAGCAATTCACAGTCAAATCCTTAACTACACACTATAATTGATTCAATAACATTTAGCCATTCATCATGGTTTTTACAAAAGTATATTAAAAATATAATTCTAAGTAATACATAGTTTTGACGATTGGATCAAATTATGTGGAAGTCCTCTCAAATACCTTTAACTTCTTTGTCGTTCTTGAACCATCTGATATCAGCTGCTGGTTTACTACCAGAAGTCTTGCATGTCAGCTGCATCCTCTCTCCCTCCATAACTGGTGAAGTAAATCCAGTAATTTGTGGTTTCTCAGGAACACCTAACAAGCAAACAAGTAATATGTCTCTGACATTGCCAACTGATACCACAAATATATGACCAACTTAATTCCTTCATATACTCTAAATCCTGAAAATAATTAGTTCCTTGCCTTCTATCAAGACTGATTATCATTGCATCCTGTTTCCTATTATAAATATAACTGTCAACTTGAACTATAGTTGATTCTAAGGAATTTAAAAGAATAGATACTATCTAGTTTTCTTAAGAAAACAAGATTCTTCAGTACTTTAAAATCTTATCTTCTTTCTTATTGACTGTATATTCTTCATTCAGGCCCAGTCTGACCTGCTATTACTAGGTTTAAACTGGTCTGTACAGGAAGCAGTAGGACAAAGTATATTAGAATTACAATTATGAAAATAAAACATAGCTGGCAAGAAAAAGTTGAACTAACCTAAGTTCAGAAAAGATGATCAAACATGAATTGTGAAGGTTCTAACACAGAAATCGAGGAGAAAAGGGAAGATGAAAAGAAATGCAAGAGCTTCTTCATTTTCAGAAAATACATAACAAAACAACCAACAGCTACCACATCGTGCGTTGGCTCTGGAGAACTCTTCAGCTGATACCGAGTGCTTTGGAAGAGATCTTATGATCACAAAATACCATATACACAATATTACATTGGAAAGGGTTATTCTTCAATGAACCATGACAGATTTTAAATCAAGAATTCTAAACAGCATTGGGAATATTTAATCACTGTATGTATAAAATCATTTGATGTTGGAAAACAGAAGAATAACTTATTTTAAGATGATACTGATGACTGTAATTTTAAAAGCTCTGAAAATGTCATTAAGGTCAGAACTTGCATCTGAAATGCTTTGATGCGTTCATATTTGTGGCTAGATAAAGGAATCAGTCAAAGTAATTGATCCTGTGCCCTGTATTTCACAATTTGGTGTGTTTACATCTCTTTTCCAAAATGACAAATTATGTACATAAAAACCAAGCAGCAGTACCTATCACGGAGTACATTTCTGTAATAAATCTACTCTTCTCTTTCAGGATACAAAATGGCATCTACTATAATACCTTGACACTCAAATCTTCTAATCCATATCAGAGCAGCCAAAGAAAAGATTATTAGTGCATAGACAGTTTATCTGATTAAAAAGATGTGATATATTTCAAAGGAAAATATCTCATTCTCAGGTAGAAAGTGTTCCAAAAGTTTAAAGTATTACTTTGAAATAGAAAACTGAAAATACAAAATGAAAGAAGAGAGGCTTCTTAAACCTTGCAGCTTGCTTTCTTGGAAGAAAAATTACTGATGCTGGGAAAAGTTTATAAAAAAAAAAACAAAAATAAAGGTAAAACTAAATGGACTGTAAAAGATCAAGTTACTTTGATTAAAAAAAAACTAGCTAGAAGTTTTTTCTGCCTTTGTAACATCCTTCTATGTCATTCTGCCATTTAAAAGGTTGAACTGGTCTACTCATCTATTGTTTAGATCATGAGATGGTCTCTACAGAAAAAAATGATTAACCTTAGGCAGTTATTATTTCAGAATACTCTGCTTTGAGTGGGTATTTTTTGTCCTTAATGGCAAACTTGTGAAGATGTTTATAAAACACTCTCACAGGGACAGAGAGAGAGATATATTTCATATCTTATTCACAAAACCAATCCCTGTCTGGATTCAGGTCAATATGACTGACACAGAGAACATCTTACATTAGTGCTATTAATTCAACTGTCTGCCTGTCTACATATAAAAACATAACAAAATGAAAGAAAGAGTCCAGTTCAGGGACAAAAAAGGAGGAAAGAATTAAAAAAAATCTCTAAAATCATATAACCCATTAGGTACGCAGGTGTGTTTCAATGAACATAGCAATTTCAGCTGATTGGGCTGCTGTCATTCATAGAATCGCATAAAGCTTTGAGCAGAAACTTTATTTCCTGGGCATCTCTACAAATCTATTGCTTTTCTATGTGTATCCATAACCTTTGGGGAAAACAGCAGAGCATTTAGAGGATAAAGCATAGAAGAAGCAGCAAACCCAGTGAAAATATGCACTTTATAAACAGAAGAAGAAAGCAGGATGAGCCACGAAAATGCACAGCTAAGGAAAAACTATATAGCTCTAAAGCCTTTTTTGATTTCATGCTTTCTCATTTTCGCTCCTTTGCCCTATGCAGTATACTGTTAGGAGATGAACATATGCACTTTCTTCACCCTTTTGGTGCTTGGAAGTAGAGGTTACGTCCATTTTAAGGAGCCCTCATACTGTAGTATTTGTGTGGTCTGTAATTCATTATCCTGCCACAGCACAAACAGTAAGAGGCGTGCTATTCTTTAGCACAGCGCTATGAAAATAATAAACGACAGGGAAAAAAGACTGGATGCTTACACGCATCTTCAGCTAAGCTTTAGAAAAGTTCACTGTTATCATAATTTGCCAAAGCTTGAGAAATCTACACACTTGCTTCTTTAACATTGGTGTGCTCAGTCATTTATACTCACCAAGAACGGTAAGAAAAGCCTTGGAAGTTTTGACAGGCATAGTAAATAAAGAGCAGGTGTACTGCCCTTCATCCGACAGAGACACATCGCTGACACTGATACTCAGTTCATGCCACGAAGCTCGAACCAGCTCAATTCTGTTGTCCCTCAGAGCTGAAAGACAAAAAATCACATGCTGTAAGGTACAAAAGAACACATTAACAAAGCTTGGTATGTTTTAGGAGAGGCTCTATGCATTAACCTAGTGCAATCACACATACGGATACGGTTATCTTTAGGCATACTGTTTTGTTTTCTTCATGGAAAAAGTTCCTCGGGTTTAGCAAGTTTCAGAAGGGTGAACTAAATGACCCATTACGTATATAAACCTGGAACCTAACTGGCTGTAGTTACTTTTGTTCTTCCTCTGAAAAAAAGTAACATTGATCTCTTGAAATAGTCATATTTTTAATTGTATCCCTTTGTCCACTACACTGTAAATAACATCGCAGGAGATCTAAGTGTTAAGTCACCGATTCAGTTAGACATCCTCATGTTTGATCTGGTGGTATTTAAGCTTATTTCACTCTGGTTTTTTTGTCCCTCATACCTTTGCTCAGGGTCTAAACTAATTCCTTCCTAAAAGCATTTTTTCCCAGGTATTTACAAATTTAGTACCACTTTGAGAATCCTGTTTCATCTACTAACAAACTATATTTTCAAATAAAGAAGTTGAGTGTCACATTGCTTGCCTGTTCTTACATCCATTACTAACCAGATTGAATTGGAATGCAGCTGTCTTGAACACTAAGCGTATTTCTTATTAGGAGGATATTGCAAGTTCTATATATATTTGTACTACTTTCAAAGCTTTGAGGTAACTGAGTACAGTGGCTTTAGTTTTTTGATTATGACTAAAAATCTCATCTGATACCAGAAAAACCTTTGTAACAAACTTTTCTTGAATGAAACCATTGAGGGAGGAAGAGCAGGGAGCTTAAGTAAATTCAAAATGTCACTTTAGCTAATACTATAAAAAAATTAAATATTTTAAAACTTATGCTTAGATTAATCCACATTTTCCATTTAAAAATGGTTGAAACATTCCCAAACATTCCATTTTTTGGAATTAAGCTTTTTCAGGAATCCACATATATTGAGTCTTTCTGCAGCATAGAAATACCAGTCACAGAAATAAGTAAGCACCGTAATTCTCCTAAGTGAACAATATAAAAGCCTCTATAACTCAGAAAGTTCTGCTGTATACCTCTAGTTCCAAATCTTTGATGTGAGAGTATGTGAATCTTCACTGCGATATTTTTTAAAGTAAGCCTCTAAAAGTCAAATAGGACAATTATAATTATCAGGAGATCTACATTTTGATTTGTTAGAAGATTCAGGGTGGACAGTCACTAATGCTGTTCTCGCTCACCTCTTTCAAAAGGCTCCAAAGGCTCTTAAATTTCAGTTTCACCTAACATTTATATCAGTCAAGTGATAAAAATGAAGCTTTACGGTGGTTCTTTTGCTACTAAATCTGGATGTTTCTACATTATTGCACAGCTATCTACGTGCTGCCAGTATAGGAAGATTTGCACCAAAATTAGCAGCTACAACAATGATTCAGCAAAAATGTCACTTGAACTGGTTGTCTTCTAATGCTACTGTTCAGGTTCCTTTACAGTGACCTCAAGCTGAATTTATTGGTTATTTCAAGGCAGGTTAGCAAAAGCTTGACTTTTTTTTTTTTTTCCAGGGTCTAATTAACTTAAAAGTGACAACTTAAGCTGACCTCACATGCCGCAAACTCCTCCAAGGCATATCAAAGTGGTTGAGATTGTGAGTAATGGACACCTCCCAATTATATCTGAGACACCATTTGGCATCCTAGTATAGCAAAAATAAACATTTAGGTGGAACATTAAGGTAAATAAGCAAACAAAACAAAGCTACAGATTGAAAAGTAATATACTATCAATGTACTGATACAAGAGCCAGGGAAAGCAAGCTCAAAAAAAACAAATGTACACTGAAGTAAGCTTCTACCAACACAAAATTACAGACATAGCTGATGGCTGTAGCTTTACTGGGCAAAAGCTTTCACAACAGTAAAGCTGTTGCTATCTTTGAGGAATTAGATGGAGACTCAGAATTCACTTCTCAGCATTTCAATTCTAGTCAGACATAAACTGACCAGACATAAGAACGGTAGTTTATTTCACATTACTGACCTCTAAAGAAAATTTTTATTTTCAGAATGACCTAGTGCTTCCAAATGGTTTGATTACCACACCCATATATATTATTTGGAGAACAGTATAGGAAATTGAAACAAAACCTCAAGAACTCCATAATTTGAAAGTGGTGATTTCTGCCTCCACCGAACCAGAAATTATGTAAAACATAATGCAGTGTATCATCTTACATAATACTGCATTTCATTACAATTTGCAGTTGCTACTGCCTGGTGATTATTGGGTAACGAGCGCCTCTGATAAAGATTTATGTAGCTGCTAAAATATTTTCCTACAGATGCGGCAATGTGCAGAATGTCATGTGCTAAAAAGAACTATAATATATTCTGCTAGAGCATGAATGGTCTACAAATGATGCCAGGAGCAAAGCATTTCTATCCTATTGCTAGAGCAAAAACAACCAGTAAAATACAAACCATCTGCATCAACTACATCCCTGCTGCTGCCCTCCTTCATTACTTCCTCTCTACACCTTTTTTAACCTTTGCACAACATAAAAAGCTCCAGCTCTGTCAATTTTTCATGAAATTGGTAAAAACAAGCACTGATCAAGAGCTGAGATCTGACATACCAAGTTTCAGCCCAGAATAATTTTTTATTGAAAGTACAGGGGAAAAAAAAAAAACTTTTTATAAGTTTTATAATGGAAATACCAACATAGAGCCTTTGCAAATATGCTGCAAATAGCACCCACGTAATATTCTTTTGCAGGAAATATTTGTCAGGAGCATTTTTGTAAGTGCCAAGTCTAAATGCAATTAATAATCTGTGCCATTGACTCCAAAGATAAACTTCTGTTAGCTTTGCTGTCTACAGAGATTTGAGAGTAACCCATTAAAAAAACTCCAATGCTATTGCGCAGACACAGTTAGCACTTGCACGGACTCTCAGTAGGATTTCATTTTCAAGCTTTATTCCTATCCTATTGAAGTAATAAGTAACACTATATATATCCTTAGAAAGCCATAAATTCCTGCTATGAAACTGTCCGTTTTGATGGATGTCAGAATCGGTTTGTTCCTATCTTCTGTGCTAGGTTTTACCTTTTGCTAAAAGGGTAAGTTGGATCACAGGGAGCTGCCTGTCTAGTCTTGGCTCCCAGACACAGGCTCATCAGAATCCCTGTGGAAGAGGGTGAGTGCTCCCTCGAATAGCAAATGAGTGACCTGTAGCATTGGAGAAGCCAAGAGTGCATCTAGCAAGCAGGCAGTCCCCAGGAAGAGGGGCTGAAAGGAGTAAGGTTTTGCATGTGACAGAGCGTAACCCACTGCGAAGCCTGGCTGCTGGAATAAAGCAGCCCGCTGAGCCTTAACAGCAAGCAGCTACTGAAAGGTATAAGCTGGAAAGCAAAAGCTGGATGGAGAGGATATACTCCTCAAGAAGCTGGTGGAAAGGAAGATTTTTTTTGCAAGCCTATATACTCAATCCATCTGAGCAGATCCGAGTTCTACGTGTTTAAAGAGCAACCTCATCTAGTTTATTATTTTATATTTAAAGCACATGAACTTCAAAAGTGTTTTGTAAGGTTTTTCTTTGTTGTGAGAGTTTCCCAAAACAGGGCAATTTCCCAAGGTTCTACGCCTACTCAGGATTCTACCACAGCAGTAAAAAATAAACTATCATAAAGTAAAATACAAAATCTTAATTAACAACTGAAAGCAAAAAGTAGAGCATTTAGAGAGGCATTCTGTGTGAACATAGAGCTTGGTACATGCAAAGAAACAGGCTTCCAATGTACTGAAATTTCCATGCATTGTTCAATAGGTACTGCAGTGAGTATTTCTAGCTCCTTACAGAAGTTACCAGGAAACACCAAACTTGTGTTGAAAGTGTCTCTCTCATACTACAATATAGCTACTGTATTGTATCCAAGTGATAGTATTTATTTCTTCAGCTTTTCTAAAGGTTATACTAATAGCTGCATTAGTATTCCATTATTTAACTTCTGACTATTATTTATATTGTGATAGTGACCAGATGTCCTATGCGTGTGCAAAAACGGACAGTTTTGTCCCTAAAGGCTTTATATGGTCTGTCCTCACTTGACTTGCATCATGTCCTAGCCTCATTCCTATCTCTGCCAGCTCTTGTAGAACCTCCTCTGGAAGCTCATCCTCTTTCTCATTCCCCGCTTTGTAGGAAGCCAATAGACCTTTACAGGCTCTTTTGGGGGATTTTCACCTACATAATCATTACCTTAAAAGTTTGCACACCTGCATGTTTACATGCTACAGTGATGTTAGAAAAATAATGGTAAACAAGCAGAGTTCGACGCAGATATATGCAACTCCTGTGAAATATCTCTGTGTCAAAGCAGTAAGAATCAATACCACCATCAGTTAGCTTGTCCTTGCTGGAATCTTACATAGCAAGCACTTATAAAAAATATAAGATGCAGTGGGGAACATAATTGTATAGTAAGTTCCAGTAAGCCCTTAGCATATTATCAGTTTTTTGTAATTCCCAGACAAATATGATGTAGCTAATTTGCAAGGACATGAAATAATTATGCATAAAATACTTCTTCCTAAACAGACACACTTCATTTATTTTACCTGTCATTCCTTTTTTCTGTACAAAAGATTTTCATTCAGAATGTTTTCTGAGACAGAAAATATTCCTTACAAGCAACCATGATGATTTATATATCTTAGGCTATTATGAGTAAAAGATAGAGTAGTGTATTTCAACTGCAGTAATTAGAAATTGCTAAGACTGGTAAACACTGCAATAAACTGGTTCCTTGTCCACAGTCATATAAAGCTGTATTTTATTTTTTGTGCAAAATAGTATAATGATCATATGTAGTGAAATCTAGTGATAGGAATTACATCAGAGATAGAAAAGCAAATTAGAAATGCATACTATTATCGAAAAAACACTTCCATTTCATATTCAGAGGAAAAAAACACCTGGACT